TATATATATATATATATATATATATATATATATAATAAAATAGAGTTGAGTTTGAATTTTGAAAACAAAGAGATCGTTTTGAGATAAAACATAAACACATTTAATCTCTCACGCCTAGGAGTGTCAAACATATCGGGTTAAACGGATAACGGGTGAAAAACATGTAAATCCATACACGACACGTTTATTAAACAAATAAAAAATCGAAACACGAATACGAACCGTTTAATAAATGAGTACTACGACACAACTCGTTTAACACGTCTAATTTTAAACGAGTTGGGTTAGGTTGAGTCGAGTTACCACGGTAAACTACTCGTTTGATTTATTTACCTGTTTATCACCCGTTTGACCCATTTAACACGATAATTCTAGCAACACCAGGAAGTTTCCCATCAATCACGAGGACTCAAGGTCTACACCCAAAATGAAATTGAAGCGACAGGGAAGCCATGAATAAAGATCTTGGAAGAAAAAAAACAAAATGGTTCTTTGGTTCGAAGTTGATGATAGAGGCTGTGGTATGAAGCTTAGCGTTCAGTAAAGCTATACAAAAACACATTTTAACTTACTGTTTTGTTTCATATTTAGTTTCCAAGCACTTCAATTTATCTTTCTTTTTAACTTATTTCTTTTATGTAGGTATTGATCCAACCAAATGGGAATCTGTGTTTGAAAGCTTTGAGCAAGTTGATCCTTCAACAACTTGATTGTAAGCTATTTAATATTTATACAACTTAAAAAACAGAGGCATGGTATAACACTAAAATAACAGATCTAATACACTTAAAAAATAGAGGCATGAGCCGATCTAATACAGGGGCATGAGCCAATCATTTTAATATCTAATACCGATCTAATACAGATCTAACACTGAAATACCGATNTCATTTTAATATCTAATACCGATCTAATACAGATCTAACATTGAAATACCGATCTAATACATGCTCGTAGCTCGCTGTGAGAGAGAGAAAAGGAGGAGGAGGAGGAGAAGAGTGGAGGCTGGAGGGCTTGGAGGTGAAACACCAAAGCTTCAGGCTCAGCGTAGATGTATTCATGGAATTAGATTAGAGTTAGGGAAAAATATCTTTATATATTTTCTGTGTAGTTGTCATTAAAAAAAAATCTGGTTAATTTTTTTAAAATAATTATTAATTTATTATTCTATTAATTTTATTTAAACGGGTTGACATGTCTTACCCGAACACGATTCGTTTATTAAACGTGTTAAACGGGTCAACCGGTTTATCACCTGAATCCGTTAAGGTCTCATCCAAACCCGCTTAATCCGTGTGAATTCGTGTCGGTTAATTATGTCGTGTTGGATTTTGACAAGCCTACTCACGCCTCTATCCCAATCCAATCCTTAAATTAAACTATTTCTCACTCCTCAACTAGGCTTCTCTCCCCCACTCTCTCATGCACACCCCAAATCAAACTTTTCAATTAAATTCTCAATCTAATCCAATCCTTAAATTAAGCTATGTTTCACTCCCAATGCCTCTTTCCCTCTCTCATTCACCAACGATCCAAATCAGCGATGATATCTTTTCCAACTCAATCTAATCCGATAATTAAGTGATCTCTCACTCCCTAACTCTACCTCTTTCTCCCTTTCTCATTCACCAAGGATTAAATCTCTCACGCTGGGCAAAATTCAAAATCCCATGTTTCACGCCANAACGATGATATCTTTTCTAACTCAATCTAATCCGATACTTAAGTGATCTCTCACTCCCTAACTCTACCTCTTTCTCCCTTTCTCATTCACCAAGGATTAAATCTCTCACGCTGGGCAAAATTCAAAATCCCATGTTTCACGCCAAATCCTTCTTCACACCTCAGTCACCGCCTCAGTTGTATCAACACGCCACTCTTTCTTTGCCATGGTGACCTCTCAAATAACAATCTATCATTTACCCCCTCAATCTCGCTCGCTCTCTATTCCCTCAGAGAAAGGCCGTTTTGGGTCCTTCCCTCTGCCTCCACCACTACTTTCCGCCAATCCACACCCAAAAGCTCAGATTCTATTTCTTAGATTGAGTTTTTTTTTGTATTAATTTCAGCCTTAATTTTGTGGGCTGTTTTATAGCTCATGGGATGAAATTGTAGGTACCGCAAAGAAGTCATTTTTTCTTGTCGATATAGCAGTAAGTTAAATATCTATAATCCTATATAACAATGATTTTTCTTGATNAAGTATCTCAACTAATCTATTTTTCGGTCTGGTTAAAGGCAGGTCATTTGCGTCGGGATTAAGATATTCATGAGAGATAAATTTATCATAACCTGGGCCTAATTAATTATAAACCCCTGTGTTACTCTTGATGTAAACTACATAGTCTCTTATAATAATAATGTCAATTGAATAGTTGGACATGATCTTTGTTTTTTTTTCTACAAATGTAACGAGATTATTATTTCTACTAGCTTTCATGGCACAAATAATGTCTGAGCAGTTAACAATTGATGGAGACATGAGTTGAAGTCGAGTTTAAAAGGAATGTACATGCACCACAAATAAAAATGTGATATAAATTTAATTTATTAAATAAAATCTATTATCTTGAGCATTAGCAAACCCCTATTGTAGTGGATGTCAAACCGTCCTCTCATTATATCAACAATGGTAGATTTTCAAAATGGGATTTGTATATGGTTCCCTAAATTTGCATCCATATAGCTTAGTTGAACATTAATCTTATCGTCCTATTTATTCAGTGATCAGCCCAAGTTCTATGGCGAGCTTTATCTATTGGGTCATTCAAAAGTTGTACACGAAATTGAACTTAATTGTCAAAAAGTAAATAGAAAGAAATGTTTTGTAAAAAAATTTACTTAAAACATAAAAAGATTTGAATATCTTTTTATTGTAAATAAGTTTCCTAAAAACGATTTTGAAAACTAACCATATATTTAATTATCTCCACATTACCTGATGCACTTGTCTCCCACGCTCCTTCATAGATATATATATATATATATATAATAAAATAGAGTTGAATTTGAATTTTGGAAACAAAGAGATCGTTTTGAGATAAAACATAAACACATTTAATCTCTCACGCCTAGGAGTGTCAAACATGTCGGGTTAAACGGATAACGGGTTAAAAACATGTAAATCCATACACGACACGTTTATTAAACAAGTAAAAAATCGAAACATGAATACGAACCGTTTAATAAATGAGTACTACGACACAACTCGTTTAACACGTCTAATTTTAAACGAGTTGGGTTAGGTTGAGTCGAGTTACCACGGTAAACTACTCGTTTGATTTATTTACCTGTTTATCACCCGTTTGACCCATTTAACACGATAATTCTAGCAACACCAGGAAGTTTCCCATCAATCACGAGGACTCAAGGTCTACACCCAAAATGAAATTGAAGCGACTGGGAAGCCATGAATAAAGATCTTGGAAGAAAAAAAACAAAATGGTTCTTTGGTTCGAAGTTGATGATAGAGGCTGTGGTATGAAGCTTAGCGTTCAGTAAAGCTATACAAAAACACATTTTAACTTACTGTTTTGTTTCATATTTAGTTTCCAAGCACTTCAATTTATCTTTCTTTTTAACTTATTTCTTTTATGTAGGTATTGATCCAACCAAATGGGAATCTGTGTTTGAAAGCTTTGAGCAAGTTGATCCTTCAACAACTTGATTGTAAGCTATTTAATATTTATACAACTTAAAAAACAGAGGCATGGTATAACACTAAAATAACAGATCTAATACACTTAAAAAATAGAGGCATGAGCCGATCTAATACAGGGGCATGAGCCAATCATTTTAATATCTAATACCGATCTAATACAGATCTAACACTGAAATACCGATTTAATACCTGCTCGTAGCTCGCTTTGAGAGAGAGAGAGAGAGAGAGAGAGGAGGAGGATGAGGAGGAGGAGGAGGAGGAGGAGGAGGAGAAGAGTGGAGGCTGGAGGGCTTGGAGGTGCAACACCAAAGCTTCAGGTTCAGCGTAGATGTAATCATGGAATTAGATTAGAGTTGGGGAAAAATATCTTTATATATTTTCTGTGTAGTTGTCATTAAAAAAAAACCTGGTTAATTTTTTTAAAATAATTATTAATTTATTATTCTATTAATTTTATTTAAACGGGTTGACATGTCTTACTCGAACACGATTCGTTTATTAAACGTGTTAAACGGGTCAACCGGTTTATCACCTGAATCCGTTAAGGTCTCATCCAAACCCGCTTAATCCGTGTCGATTCGTGTCGGTTAATTATGTCGTGTTGGATTTTGACAAGCCTACTCACGCCTCTATCCCAATCCAATCCTTAAATTAAACTATCTCTCACTCCTCAACTAGGCCTCTCTCCCCCACTCTCTCATGCACACCCCAAATCAAACTTTTCAATTAAATTCTCAATCTAATCCAATCCTTAAATTAAGCTATGTTTCACTCCCAATGCCTCTTTCCCTCTCTCATTCACCAACGATCCAAATCAGCGATGATATCTTTTCTAACTCAATCTAATCCGATACTTAAGTGATCTCTCACTCCCTAACTCTACCTCTTTCTCCCTTTCTCATTCACCAAGGATTAAATCTCTCACGCTGGGCAAAATTCAAAATCCCATGTTTCACGCCAAATCCTTCTTCACACCTCAGTCACCGCCTCAGTTGTATCAACACGCCACTCTTTCTTTGCCATGGTGACCTCTCAAATAACAATCTATCATTTACCCCCTCAATCTCGCTCGCTCTCTATTCCCTCAGAGAAAGGCCGTTTTGGGTCCTTCCCTCTGCCTCCACCACTACTTTCCGCCAATCCACACCCAAAAGCTCAGATTCTATTTTTTAGATTGAGTTTTTTTTTGTATTAATTTCAGCCTTAATTTTGTGGGCTGTTTTATAGCTCATGGGATGAAATTGTAGGTACCGCAAAGAAGTCATTTTTTCTTGTCGATATAGCAGTAAGTTAAATATCTATAATCCTATATAACAATGATTTTTCTTGATTTTTAATTGATCAAATTTAGTGATTAGCAAAAGAAACTGGAGTGATTGTTATCATGTGATCAATGTTACGATCTTGGGTTTTTTTAATATAATTCTTGGCCAATTTCAAGTGTGGCAACAATGGTGGTGATTGGTTGGAATTCGTTCTCTTTCTTTCTTTCTTTTTTGGTGATGTCGGTGGTGATCAATGGGACTTTTTTTGAGCCAATGGTGATCTACTGAGCTTTTTTTTTTCTTTTTTTACTTTAATTGAATTTGATATTCTCATATATTTGAGAATTAAATGATGTTGTATTTACATAGGTACATAAAGTGGGAAGATAAAGTTTGCTGATTTTGGATTACCATCATGATTACGAATGGTAAAATACTAAACAAATCTTTCTCCAATATGCTGTTTAGGCTATGCTACTGCTTGACCAGTCAAGACTCATTTGATTGTGAAATATTGATTCTGGTACCTTTTTTTTTTCTTTCAAAATTTGGCTAATTATTACTTGAAATTCTAAGTATCTAGGTCTCAATATTCACTAGAATAATCAGAAATTTCCTCTATTTTTCTTCTATGAAGCCCTTTCTTCAGTTGGTGTTGCCTTGAACCTCGAAAATATGAGCTAAAGTTTTTAATGGTTAGTTTTCTCTTTCTTTTGCTATATTTTTCTCACTGTTCAAAATCAATTAGTTGTTTTATGTTTGTTGGACCTTTTTTTCCCAGATTTATATTCTTGTTATTAGTTAGTTTTGTATATGGGAAATTTTCTAAAATTTTTATTTATTTATATGCCTATATGAATGAATTTAGATGAGTGTTTTCTTGATCCTATTGGTGTGGTTGTTCTATAGCAATGGTTGCAATAGTTGAACTTCATGTGGATGAGTACTAAGAGGGTCCATATCAAAAGGTCTGAACTTCTATAGGTGTGTGTCCATTTGATGGGCAGGGGGACTGATCTTTTTGGCGCAACTTTAAATAGGTCCAAATTAAGAAAAAGTTTCCAATCTTATGAGCCATTTATTTTTGTCTTGTTTTACCATGTATTATTTATTCAAACTTAAATGAAATTGCATCCTGGGCTACTTTTCAGTGATCACATTGTGAGATTGCTTATATATATTGTCTTTATTGACAGGTAGATGATGTGCTCAATTACATTTGTCTCAGATACCACGTTGCTAAGGCTTGGAATGAACAACTCTAAAAGGGTAATGATCCGAACAAGCCGATAAGTCATTTTTTTTACGTACTTTTTTTACATCAACTAGTATTTTTTGTTTGGAATGGACATATTATTATATTTTTGGCTTGATGTCTTTTTATGAGTGTAGATTTGGCTGCAATAAAAACCTTGCTTTTACTCCTCTCTTATGTAGATGACATCAAATCAATTTTGTTCTCATCAACTGTGTCTTTTGTTGCAATTTTTTTTGATAGAGGTTTCAATTGTGGATACATATATCATTGTTCATGGTTGATTTGCCGTAGAGACACGTATAAATATGTATATTATCATGTGCATATTGTGTAAATTGATTGGCAAATTTTAAATTAATTACTGAGGTGGTAGAATATATTGGCTAGGATTGTGAATTAATTTTTGGTGTTGTGTTATTTTAGGGGGTGGTCGGGAAGGGGATTATCTTTAGGTTTGACTACCTGCATTTGTTGAACTAGGAGAGATACCAACTGGTATGAAATGTGTTTTTCTTAACTTTTCTCATATATGGACTAGGACAGTTTCCAGCCTATAGTTTATTGTTCATTTAGCAAGTTACATGGATGTGGATTGTGGATAAATTGATGATTTGGATTGATCATAGTTGTGTCAATCATGACATGACTCTTGAGCTAAATGTGTTAGACAACACTTTTAGGCACGGTTAACACAATGCGTTTAGGCACGAGTGATTTGATTGGTATCGTGATGATGTTGTGGTAAGTCATTTTGTTGTGTAGGGGTAACAATCATCATCGATTGAATTTTTGTTTTTACGAACTATTAAGTGTTTTTTATCTCATATATAACACTGTGACAATCGTTATTAGCCAAGTAATATTTTTTGCTTTTTTGTTCTTGGCTTATGGCATTTATTGCAATTATGCACACAACACCACAAATTAATTTTTTTTTTTTTTGCTCTTTTAACTTTTTTCGATTGATTCTCATTTGTTTCAAAATACTAAAACGGTTATTTTTATTTGTTACATAGTGCTTTCAGGCACGAACAATTACAAGTATATATATATATAATTGTTCTAATAAAACAAAAATCAAAAATTTTTGAAAATCAAAACTCATAATAAATCATCTCCATTTTTTAAGAGACATGGTTCAAAATTTTTGAAAACTTTTGAAATTTGACAACTAAATTAACGAATTTTAATTATCTTATCCTAGAAAGTATTAAAATTAAAGAATTTTGGTCATATATATATATTAATAACAAGAGAGATATGTTTAATGACAAGGATAATTACAAAAAAATTTAAAATTCAAAATGGCTAAGATGTACACAATCAACGTTAGATGCAAATTTTGTGATAATATAATTCTTCCATTATATTAGGAAATCTTTAATACAATAAAACAAAATCAAAAATCAACTTAATTGTCAAAAGAAATATGCATGATTTAAGGGATGACAAATATGTCAAAGAAAAATCACAAAAAGTCAAATTGTGTACTTTAACACAATTAAATTCTAAAAATAAGTACTTACTGACTTAATATTAAGAGTTATGAACTTTTTGACCAATAATTCTAATTTCATATACCTCCTTACTATTCCTCCTTATCTATATCTATATACTTATATTTACCACTAATAAAAGTACATTAAGACCAAAACCTTTTAAATCTCTATTTTATTCTTATTAAATATTATAAATACCACTCTATCCTTTCACAATTAAATATCTAAATTATCATAACATCCTTATGTTTTTAAATCTTTAAATAAATCTATATCTATATCTATATCTATACTACTAATAAAGTACCTTAAGACAAAAAACTTTTGAATTTCTATTTTACCCTTATAAAATATTACAAAGACCACTCTATCATTTTTAAATATCTAAATTATCATCACATGCTTAATGTTTTTAAATCTCTAAATTATTTATAACATCTATTTTAATTATTTAATTAGTTTCTATAAAAAAAATTGATTGATTATATTACCCTTAAAAAATATGCATCATTATATTTTCAACAAAGTGTTTAAAAAACTTTTAAAAACTTCATCAATTTAATATCATAAGCAAAGACAACAATATACCTGCATATGTTTATTTTCTTTTTCATCGAAAAGTTTAACCTTTTTATTTCTAAGATAAAAATACTCATATATATAATTTTTTAAAATTAATTTATGTTATATCAGTATAATTCTTTAGTTACAATAAACTTTATAAGTTGTACTAAGATTTTATGTAAAAATAAATATTGTAGTATATTTTTAAGTAAAACTTAAATTTTTAGAACTTTAATATGATTGATAATATAGAGCAGTCTATTAAATCTTATCTCAATTGATCTAACTAATTTATAATTACAGTAAGGTTTCAATGTGATTAATATATTGACAATTACTTTTATTTTATATAAAGAATTATAAGTGAAATCCTAATCAAATGAATGTCAAAAAATTTAATTTCACAAACATCATTAGAAAATCAATCTCAATCATAAAATTCTAAAAAAAATAGAGTTTTAACTAATTTTTTTCATCTTTTTTTTTATAATTAAAATAAAAATTTTGGGAACATACAAAATTTTTATAATTATAAAATAAAATATGCGTAATAAAAAATTAAGTTTGATAAATTTAAAATTATATTCAATTCAAATGGACATATATCTAATATACTTTATAAATTTTTGTGTATAAAAATTATTCACCTATAACGTACGTGATCCATTACTTATTTAAAAGAAAATAGGGAGTGAATCGAAAAGTTTTCATTTTCGTGCTTAATTTGGGGGGCTTGCGGGCCCCTCTCAATCTTTTTTGCAGTTGAGAAGGGAAAAAAAGTCTAAATCATCAGGCATTAATGAACAAATTATTGATGAATGTTTCACACTTAATTTCATCAATTTGACTCATAAATTCATTAAAACTAAACATAGTATCAAATGAGCATTAAAACCATTGTATGGACCAAAACGAGGGTAAGCCCATTGGGTCAAAATCGATTGGGTCCGATTATAAGGGTCTCTGAACAACGTTGTGGCCTAACCTCCAACCACAGACTTAATTCCCTAAATGACCAAATTGACCCATTCAAAACATACAACAGACTCCTATCCAAGGACAAATATGTCATTCAACGCTAAGCCAAGGCCCAATTGAGGCGGTCTTTCTTCTTCCTCCCTCATTCAACCCAGATGCAATTTCTCTGATTTTCTCTCTCTTCTGTGCAAATTTCTGTACTGTGAAGATAAGATTAATATTCGTTCTACATCGTAGCCTGTGAAATTTATTTATTCGGAGCTTTAGTTCAATCTCTTTGACGAAGAAGCGACATCGTAGTTTGAAGTTCTAGGGTTTTAAAATCCCAATCAATTCATGTTCGGAACATCAGAACAATGATATTTTCACGCATAGGTCGTTCTCTCTCTCGCTCCTCTCGCTCTACATTCCACAGAGTAAAGCTCTATTTAACTCGTTTTTTTATTTTTTATTTTTTGTAATTGAAAAAATTGTTTTTAAGCAACGTTTATATTTATTTTGAAACTGTATTTTGTGCACAAAGATTGCTATATCAGGTAACTGTGGCGTAAGGTCAGTGCTTTCTGATGAAACTGCGTGCACTGCACGCGTTGATGGTGGATTAGGGTTTGTGAGGGGTTATTTAACTTCGATTGGAGCGGGAAAGCAGATTATTTCTAATACGTATTTATTGGAATTTAATTCGGTTTTTGCAAATCCGAGGCTCCGGAGGTTGTTTTGCAGTGAAGCGCCCAAGAAAAGAAGTAAGAGGGAGTTGGGCACATTTTGATCACATTGTGCATTTTGTAATCGTTTTATGAAGAACAATTGCAAAATGTTGTGACTTTTATATATTGATTTTTTATGATGTTTTTGTAGACTATGAGGACTTTTATCCGAAGAATAAAAAAGAAATTCCAAAGGGAAACAATAAAAAATCCGAGTCTAAAGGTGTGTATTTATGTTCTGAGTTTTCTGGAATATACTTTTCATCCTATATCAACAACTCTCTTGAAAGTATGATGGTTTATGGAATGCAGTGATCATTGCATTTAAGAATAGATGGGGAAGACCCTTATATTTGCTAGAAGTTCTGTGAATTTCAAACATGCTTTATTAATAGACTTTTTTTTGTGTATATATTTTTGTAAAACTGATGTGGGTGGGGGTACTTTTCAGTAAGAGGTGCAATGTTGGTCACTTCAAAAGTTTTAAGCCAAAATGATTTGGCGGCATGATGAGCTGTGTGATTCTGGGTTGATTTTTTGTGCTTCTGTGCAGCACCACTCTAACTTTTTTGGTACTTAGTACTTATCCAAGCCTACCTTCTTCCTTTAGTGGACCCATGGACAGAGCTTGATGAAACAAGCTCCTATCAGAGAAAGTCCTTACTAGCTCAGCTAACTTGTGTATTTTTTGTTCATTTTTTTTAAATTTGCTGCTGCCTTATATGTAGCAGGGAGGGTTTGCATTGCTGGTGGGAAAAAGATTGTGGATAGCTTACTAGACATGCATGATTGCATAATACTTATTTGTGAATACTTCTTCAAAGTGATTTGGATATAGAATTTAAGTCTAGTATGCAGTGTAGTCTCCTACGTTATGCTATTGATAGGCATGGATGTCTGTCTTTTCTTGTCATCATTTTTGGGGAACCACAGTTCTGGTTAGCATTCCATATCTGTTTTTAAGTGCATGGGTACAAATATGTGTTTGAAATTATGCAATCTTTGTGGAGCATGAAGTAAATTTCAATGCAAATGGTAAATATTGATTAATTGGTTGCTGCAATAGTGCAAAACGTGTACTGTTAGTTTTTGATCCTTTGATTGAAATCAATCTTTGAATTGGGGTTAGCTGGTTTGATTTCAGATGCCTACACTTGTTTCATTGGCCTTTCTCTTCAACCAGTGCAATCTCATTCCATGTTTTTTCTTTCAAACGATTTGCCTTTTGTAAGTAAATGTTTTTTTCATGATGTTCACCAGAGGACTCAGGTGGAGGTGATCAAGGAAACTTTCAGCAGAACTCTATGAAGCAGTATCAAAATTTATTAACACCCATATTATTAATTGGATTTGTGCTTTTGTCACTATTTTCGAATCCTCAGGAGCAGAACCAGGTAACTTCTGTAACTAGANCACACGGATGTGTACTGCTTGGTTCATGATTTGTATGACCAAGGAATACATGTTTTTGTGACATTATATTTGGTAAATGTTTATCTTTTCTAGACCTTATTGAAAGGGATAATGGTTTTTTTTTCCATGGTTCCGTCTTTCATTTTTCTTCTACTAAACTAAATTTGACTAGGCCTTCTCCCAACTAATTTGTGATCGGCTCAATTTTTTTTTTCATTTGATAGATTGATGTATTTATTTTTCAGATTAGTTTCCAAGAGTTCAAGAACAAGCTACTTGAACCTGGTCTGGTGGATCGCATTGTTGTTGCCAATAAATCAGTTGCGAAGGTCTATGTAAAGAGCTCAACAACTAGTACAAACAAAACCAATGATGATATTGTCCAGGGTCCTACTAATGGTACCAATACTAGGCGAAATGTGAGCCACTATAAGTACTACTTTAATATTGGAAGTGTTGACTCCTTTGAGGAGAAGCTGGAGGAAGCCCAGGAGGCATTAGGAATAGATCCTCATAACCATGTTCCTGTGACATATGTGAATCAAATGAATTGGTATCAAGAAATTATGAGGTTTGCCCCAACAGCATTACTTCTGGGATCCCTCCTGTACATGGGACGCAGAATGCAGGGTGGATTAGGTGTTGGTGGTCCTGGTGGAAAGGGTGCTCGTGGGATATTCAATATAGGAAAAGCACATGTTACAAAAATGGACAAGAATGCCAAAAACAAGGTGGGCAATGTCATTCATTTTTTATTTTTGCTTTGGTTAACATTGCGTTCTTATATCTGTATCTCTGTGTTACTAATGACAAAATACATTTTGCATTAACATTGGTTATAGCACAACCGAATGATGTTTATGTTGCGATGCAGGTATATTTTAAAGATGTGGCCGGCTGTGATGAGGCAAAGCAAGAAATCATGGAATTTGTCCACTTCCTCAAGAATCCAAAGAAATACGAGGAATTGGGAGCAAAAATCCCAAAAGGCGCTCTTCTTGTAGGTCCTCCTGGGACTGGGAAGACACTTCTTGCTAANAATTTGTCCACTTCCTCAAGAATCCAAAGAAATACGAGGAATTGGGAGCAAAAATTCCAAAAGGCGCTCTTCTTGTAGGTCCTCCTGGGACTGGGAAGACACTTCTTGCTAAAGCTACTGCAGGTGAATCGGATGTGCCTTTTTTATCTATATCAGGGTCAGATTTTATGGAAATGTTTGTTGGAGTTGGGCCAGCCAGGGTCAGGAGCTTATTTCAAGAGGCGAGACAATGTGCACCTAGCATTGTTTTTATTGATGAGATAGATGCAATTGGTCGAGCAAGAGGGCGTGGGGGCTTTTCAGGAGGCCATGATGAACGTGAAAGTACTCTAAATCAGTTGCTTGTAGAAATGGATGGATTTGGAACCACTGCTGGGGTTGTTGTACTTGCTGGGACAAATAGGCCTGATATCTTAGACAAAGCCTTGTTAAGGCCTGGTCGGTTTGATCGTCAAATTACCATTGATAAGCCTGACATCAAAGGCCGTGATCAGATATTTCGGATATATCTGAAAAAGTTAAAACTTGATCAAGAGCCATCATTTTACTCCCAGAGGCTTGCTGCTCTAACTCCTGGATTTGCTGGAGCAGACATTGCAAACGTTTGTAATGAAGCTGCTTTGATTGCTGCAAGAACTGAGAGTACACTGATTACAATGGAACATTTTGAGGCAGCGATAGATAGAGTCATTGGAGGTTTGGAGAAAAAGAACAAGGTATTTCTTATAATAATCAAGAAGAATTGTGAAACTTGAGATCAGTTCTTAACTGTGTTTATTTTATTTAATCCGTGCAGGTTATAAGCAAGCTAGAAAGGCGGACGGTGGCGTACCATGAGTCAGGCCATGCTGTTGCTGGTTGGTTTCTGGAACATACAGAACCACTGCTGAAAGTGACAATTGTTCCTCGTGGAACTGCAGCTCTTGGTTTTGCTCAGTATGTTCCCAATGAAAACCTTTTGATGACCAAAGAGCAGCTCTTTGATATGACATGCATGACCCTTGGTGGTCGAGCAGCGGAGCAGGTGAATTATCAAATTCCTTGTCAATATCTTTCATATTCTTCTGGATAATTGAGTTGCGTGTTGTTTAGTTTGAAAATCTGGTCATCTATTGGGAATTTGAAGATGCTTTTTAATGTGTTCCTGAAGCGGTTTAAGTGTCTGATTTGAGCTTCTATCAAACAATAAATGCTGTGCCATAGGATTGTAGTTACTATCAACTGCAGTAGGCTTATGTCTTATGCCTTTGGCCCCTTTGCAGTTAAATTTTGAACATTTACTCTAAAAACAAAATATATAAATAGACCACCAGTGCTTCCTAACTTGTACCAAAACCACATTGTTTAAGCAACTTTAACCATACTTTTTAGATTTATGAAAAAAAAAAAAAAAATTGTAGAGGAACTTAATACTGCATCCTACTAATTTTATGTGTAGTAATACTTTCTCAGCCTCACAAGGTTTGTTAATTATTGGAGGAATTGATCAGGGAAGCATCCTTTTCTGGAAACACATGTAGTTAAAAAGCAGTCTCCTTGTCTTCATATGGAAAACTTGTCTGTGCTTGCCATCTATCTACATGTTAACTAGCAGTTTTATATTTTAATTTGCCCAACCTACCTTTATACTAGTTTGATTTGGTTAATGTGATTTTCATTTTTGGAGTAGGTTTTGGTGGGAAAGATCTCTACTGGAGCACAAAATGACTTGGAGAAAGTCACCAAGATGACCTATGCCCAAGTGGCAGTCTATGGTTTCAGTGATAAGGTAGGTCTTCTGTCTTTCCCCCAAAGGGATGATGCGATGGAGATGACCAAGCCCTACAGCAGCAAGACTGCTGCAATTATTGACAATGAAGTAAGAGAATGGGTGGCTAAGGCATATGAACGTACAGTACAGCTGATANTTCTTACCCTTTTTAAAGCCAAATTTAAATTTGGGTAAAAAACTCTTAAAAACTTTCTCCAATCCTATACCCAAACCCATATCAAATCAAAAAAGACTTATTTTTTTACTCAAATCAAGAGAGACTCAAATTCATACTCAATTTTTAATGGTGAGATTTCACCCTCCTTTAAAGATCCAATAATCATATTTTACCCTCATTTAAATTTAGATTTGTTCTCATCTAAATTTGGGTTTGTCTTCATTTAAATTTGAGTTTCTCCATTAGAGAGATCTATACCAAATTAAGCTTTTTGTCATTTTTTTTTAACTCAAATTGGGTAAGGGTTTGGGTTTCCATTGGATATGGTCTTAGACAAAGAAGAATCATGAATTCATCCATATCCCCTAGTTTTGCTTAAATTTATTATATTGTTACCACATAGAGGCAAATAACAATTAAGCCTACAATCCAAAGGTGCAAATAAACAACAAACGATCCAGATTGTAGCTGCAACCAAGCCATATAGAAGCCATCATTGAGATCTTGGTGGTATTTGTCATGCTGTCATTCTTGGTATAATACCAGTCAAACGATTAGGAGTGCAACACTGCCATTTGGAAAACACTTTGACCTTCCTGCAAAATTTTAGGCCAGGGGCACCTTGTATTTCTCTATCACAGCAGGTAAATGTTTGTGGAACAAGAACATAATTTGTGGGGCATTGACCAATAGGAGCTTCCAAGTTGATAGCTGTTGCTTCATTGATTATTATTTTTCTAGAATAATATTAATTGGATCTACATGGAAAGTGCAAAATGCCATTTTTGGAAATCAGTGTTACACAGGACTTTTTATGTATTGAAGGGTTATATTGTCTATGACATTGGATTTTTGTCCCTATGCATCACAATTGTGTCAAAGAGCCGACTCGGCATCAGCGGCTTCGTGCCGCACTGGAGTGATCCAATATGTGGTTCCACACGGATGTGTACTGCTTGGTTCATGATTTGTATGACCAAGGAATACATGTTTTTGTGACATTATATTTGGTAAATGTTTATCTTTTCTAGACCTTATTGAAAGGGATAATGGTTTTTTTTTCCATGGTTCCGTCTTTCATTTTTCTTCTACTAAACTAAATTTGACTAGGCCTTCTCCCAACTAATTTGTGATCGGCTCAATTTTTTTTTTCATTTGATAGATTGATGTATTTATTTTTCAGATTAGTTTCCAAGAGTTCAAGAACAAGCTACTTGAACCTGGTCTGGTGGATCGCATTGTTGTTGCCAATAAATCAGTTGCGAAGGTCTATGTAAAGAGCTCAACAACTAGTACAAACAAAACCAATGATGATATTGTCCAGGGTCCTACTAATGGTACCAATACTAGGCGAAATGTGAGCCACTATAAGTACTACTTTAATATTGGAAGTGTTGACTCCTTTGAGGAGAAGCTGGAGGAAGCCCAGGAGGCATTAGGAATAGATCCTCATAACCATGTTCCTGTGACATATGTGAATCAAATGAATTGGTATCAAGAAATTATGAGGTTTGCCCCAACAGCATTACTTCTGGGATCCCTCCTGTACATGGGACGCAGAATGCAGGGTGGATTAGGTGTTGGTGGTCCTGGTGGAAAGGGTGCTCGTGGGATATTCAATATAGGAAAAGCACATGTTACAAAAATGGACAAGAATGCCAAAAACAAGGTGGGCAATGTCATTCATTTTTTATTTTTGCTTTGGTTAACANTGTTGGCGCGCCTGGGGGAGAGAGCTCTAGCTCTGACCTAGGCTCTGTGTGTCTTTCCTGACTTCTTTTTCAAACCTGCTCGTTTGACCTCCTACTTGGAATTACTCTGAGTACTATCAGTTGCCCCCCAGCCCTTACTCCAAATGAACTTGAGTGGAGGCCGAGTTGAGGCTTGATTAGGCCTGACCTCCAAATGCAAACCTTAATTTGCGCGCGAACAAGTTTTTTATGGTTTCAGGCAATCATTTCACTTCCTAGTTTCTCATGCACGTTCTTCACTCTGTATCGTTAGCTTTAAATGTTTCTGAATTGAGGGGGAGCAGTTTATTCTATCCTTTGAACTCATTCTCTGTACTTTTTTCCTCTATTCTTCCTTCGTCTTTCAGTTTTTCGATTTTGCTGGTGCCACTAGGGTTTCATTGAGGAAATGATTTCCCTTGAACCAATCCGAGGTTTTGGCGTGATTTGCTCTTTGCCCCTGATGTTGGCTTTGACCTTCTGTTCCTCATTTCCTAGGTACATTTTTTATTCTTTGTTTGACTCTTCGTTCTGGATCACTCAGACTTGAGGTGGTTCTTGCATTTTTGGACCTTTCGATTTTGCTATTTTAGAANCTGTTTAAGTGTCTGATTTGAGCTTCTATCAAACAATAAATGCTGTGTCATAGGATTGTAGTTACTATCAACTGCAGTAGGCTTATGTCTTATGCCTTTGGCCCNCGGTTTAAGTGTCTGATTTGAGCTTCTATCAAACAATAAATGCTGTGCCATAGGATTGTAGTTACTATCAACTGCAGTAGGCTTATGTCTTATGCCTTTGGCCCCTTTGCAGTTAAATTTTGAACATTTACTCTAAAAACAAAATATATAAATAGACCACCAGTGCTTNCATTGTCTCGAATTCCCCTTTTCTTGGACCCATATTCGACCGCAATGGGTCTTCCTCATTGGGAGTTGTTGTGTTGCTCCCCAAACCCTTAGGGAGTGTTTCGCAAATATCTCTTTATCGCACCTTTAGACTCCCTTTTTCTTGCCCCACTANCCCTTTGCAGTTAAATTTTGAACATTTACTCTAAAAACAAAATATATAAATAGACCACCAGTGCTTCCTAACTTGTACCAAAACCACATTGTTTAAGCAACTTTAACCATACTTTTTAGATTTATGAAAAAAAAAAAAAATTGTAGAGGAACTTAATACTGCATCCTACTAATTTTATGTGTAGTAATACTTTCTCAGCCTCACAAGGTTTGTTAATTATTGGAGGAATTGATCAGGGAAGCATCCTTTTCTGGAAACACATGTAGTTAAAAAGCAGTCTCCTTGTCTTCATATGGAAAACTTGTCTGTGCTTGCCATCTATCTACATGTTAACTAGCAGTTTTATATTTTAATTTGCCCAACCTACCTTTATACTAGTTTGATTTGGGTAATGTGATTTTCATTTTTGGAGTAGGTTTTGGTGGGAAAGATCTCTACTGGAGCACAAAATGACTTGGAGAAAGTCACCAAGATGACCTATGCCCAAGTGGCAGTCTATGGTTTCAGTGATAAGGTAGGTCTTCTGTCTTTCCCCCAAAGGGATGATGCGATGGAGATGACCAAGCCCTACAGCAGCAAGACTGCTGCAATTATTGACAATGAAGTAAGAGAATGGGTGGCTAAGGCATATGAACGTACAGTACAGCTGATAGAGGAACACAAAGAGCAAGTAGCTCAGATTGCAGAGTTGTTGCTCGAGAAGGAGGTCCTTCATCAAGAAGATTTAGTTCGAGTACTAGGTGAACGTCCTTTTAAAAGTGATGAGACCACAAACTATGATAGGTTCAAGCAAGGATTTCAAGAAGAGGACAAGGAAATGAAAGACACCACCGATGGCAAGACCTTAGAGGATGATGGCTCATCACCCTTGGAACCTGATGTGGTGCCCGCATAGTAACTCAGAAAGGATTCTGGTTTGTATAAATAAGTTGCATTTGAATTGATTTTGTTCATTGCTGCTTCCTTTATTAAATTGTAAAAAGCATCACTTCTGCTACTAACAAGGCATAGTTTTTGCTTTTGACGAGCATTCATTGATCACTGTCCTAATATCAGTCTGATGTATTTATCTTAATATGAATTAAACCACATAGCCAAGACACTGGGGGATCTGAAATGGTTACCTTGATGTGTAGAGGTTGTAGACAACTCTCTTAGACAGGTTTAGCATCTATAATCTCTTGTTTTTTTCATATCTATTTGGCAGTCACATATTGCTCTGGATATGATTGGTAAAGGCCACATGGTATCAAATGGAAGAAAGCTACTTGGCGGCTATTACATTGGTTTATTGAGACGTGAAAAAGTATAATTTCCTAGCATCTATATGACTGATTGTTTTTTATTCTGGTTTTTGGTTCTTGTTGGTTTATGTCATTGAGTTTGACATTATCCATAAAATTGTTTCATTGTGATCTGGTCTTCACGGAATTGAGCCCTGAAAACTCTGTCTCTGCATGTAGACAAGTTGGGGTACATCCAATCTTCTTCATACCGTAGACTTGTGAATCATACCCTTGTACTGTTGAGACTTTGTTTTGTGATGCTGAGTTCACCAACCCCCTCAATAATGCATGAGAAGGAGTTTACGAATAGACATGGAGGTCTAGCCACATCCGACATAGGACCCAGTAGACACTTGTGTTATTTGATGTGGCCAGCAAATAAGTGGCCAACACAAACCAATTAGATAAGCTTATGGTCTGATCCAAGTCAGAGATGCTTAGTTGAAGGAGCTAAGAATAAGATTCTTTGTCTTTTTAGAGATAGAAAGCAAGTCCCGTGCCCGTGGAAACTTCTCAACCTCATAGTTGATGTTGTGGTTCTTAATCCTCGACAAGTAGAAACCTCAGGAACGAGTGAAAATTGTGAATGTGTTTGTATTCCTCCAAAATAAAGGTATCAATCGGGATTTGAGATACTCTTTATTATACTTTGACTCAATTATAAATTGTTTATTATGAATTCAAATGAGACTCATCAGTTATAAGTAGGTTTTTCACCTATACACGATATATGATCACGAATAAGTGAAAGTGCAACACAAATGNATGTTTTTCCTTACACCCTTTTGTCAAAAGTGTCCTTCAACATTTCAATGTCTATCCAACTCAACTGTCTCCCAACTTCTAAGGTATCCTGGTGGGCCTCCTTGTCTTCTTCAAGCTACACCAGCTCGGTGTTCCCATTGTCTCTCTACTAATGGAACTTTTCAATGTTAAGTATACCCTTACTGATGGTTTCTTGTATGTTTCCAAACAGGTAAAGGCTAAACATATTATTTCTGACCTTCCAAGCTCCCACAAGGGCTGGAGAAAATTCTTCTTCTTCGTGTGGGGAGAACACTAGGAGTACAATCCGACTGATAAGACAGATATTCTCCCCATTCCTAGAGCCTGGTCTGCCCCAGATAACTTGGGTACGTGCTTACTTAAACTACCCAAGCTCGGATTTGGAGAGCCCACCTGATCTTGTCCTTCACTATTTTGTTTTTTAGGTGTTCGTCCTGAGCTCAGCACTGAGGACGAACATGTGCTACAGAGGTTGGAGAAGTGTAAACCAAAAAAATACTCTGAACTCATCAAGCCTTGAGTTCTAGTAAGGGAAGGGTTCAGCCTTCCAGAGGTGACAGTAGAAGCCCCCATTCCACTCTCCATTGTCAGAGCTGAGGAGGTAGCAAGTAACGTTCCTTCATTCTAGTCTCTCTCTCCTCTTTTTTTTTTAGAACTTGCCCCCTCTCTTTTCCTTCCTTCTCATGTTGGTTCTTTCTTGAGTTTCCAAGCTCTTCTTTGATGGAACCAACTGCNTCGATATTTCAAGGTGTTTTAGAAAATTTTGAGATATTTTATTGTTTTGGAAACATTTTTAATTTTTAATTTTATTTCTATTCTATGTCCAAATTATTTTTGAAATGTTTTCGTTTTCAAATTGTTTGAAACTGTAAACCAANATGCAAGGTTGAGGCCGGGTCAGGGAGCTTAGCCTCCAAAGTTCCAAGGTTAGAGGTGACCCCTGCTTCACCTCTAGTGACCCCGACGGGGCCTCAAACTTCTTCGGACTCCACAAAGGATGTGCAAACTTCTCTCTCCCAAGAGACCAGGCTGCCCCTTCTAGTGGGGTCCCTAAACAAGTTTTGTCCCCAACTCCTCCCTCTTCAGCAGAGGTTGAGAGAGCCTTGGAAATGATTTCTCGCATTTTGCCAGGAACTATTCCCCCTTCTTCCTTTGAGGGACCATCTCTGAAACATTCAAAGATCTACAAGAGTGAGAAAGGGGGGAGTGTCGAGGCAAGCTCGAACTCTTTGATTGNGCGGATAGAATTATCAGTACCCGACTTTTAGGATCAGAGTTACAAGGTTTGAAAGAGCAATCGATGGGAAATTGGGGGATTGACACAATAGAATTATAATGGTTCACCAACTCGGGAACTCGACTAATCCACTCTTCAATGGAGACTCTTGCTCCCTTTCTCTTTGCTCCTCTTTCAGTAGGTTTACAGGATAAAATATGTGTTACTTGTCCCCCCTTCCTATGGGAGAGTTACATAATATTTATAGGGTTGTTCCTAGTTCTATGGGATCTACCTCGAGATCCTCGCTTTTTATCCGATGAACTCTCTTTAATCTTAGGAGAAGATCTTGGCTGATTAAGGATTTTATGCCTTAAACATGGCTCTTTGCCACCTAACAGCTTTCTGTTATCCTCCAGTTGTTTCCTTATCACTTCCGCTATTGGCGCGCCTGGGGGGAGAGAGCTTTAGCTCTGACCTAGGCTCTGTGTGTCTTTCCTGACTTCTTTTTCAAACCTGCTCGTTTGACCTCCTGGTCCGACCTCCTGCTTGGAATTACTCTGAGTACTATCAGTTGCCCCCCAGCCCTTACTCCAAATGAACTTGAGTGGAGGCTGAGTCGAGGCTTGATTAGGCCTGACCTCCAAATGCAAACCTTAATTTGCGCGCGAACAAGTTTTTTACGGTTTCAGGCAATCATTTCACTTCCTAGTTTCTCATGCACGTTCTTCACTCTGTATCGTTAGCTTTAAATGTTTCTGAATTGAGGGGGAGCAGTTTATTCTATCCTTTGAACTCATTCTCTGTACTTTTTTCCTCTATTCTTCCTTTGTCTTTCAGTTTTTCGATTTTGCTGGTGCCACTAGGGTTTCATTGAGGAAACGATTTCCCTTGAACCAATCCGAGGTTTTGGCGTGATTTGCTCTTTGCCCCTGATGTTGGCTTTGACCTTCTGTTCCTCCTTTCCTAGGTACATTTTTTATTCTTTGTTTGACTCTTCGTTCTGGATCCCTCAGACTTGAGGTGGTTCTTGCATTTTTGGACCTTTCGATTTTGCTATTTTAGAAATCGAGGTCGATCGTTGTCTCGAATTCCCCTTTTCTTGGACCCATATTCGACCGCTATGGGTCTTCCTCATTGGGAGTTGCTGTGTTGCTCCCCAAACCCTTAGGGATTGTTTCGCAAATATCTCTTTATCGCACCTTTAGACTCCCTTTTTCTTGCCCCACTATGTCTACCTCTTCCAAAGCCACCCCTTCCTCAATTTTCCTCCTGGGGGATAGGTTTGTTGAAGATAACTCGGATTTGGGTGAGGTAGGTGAGGAAATCGATAAATTGTCAAGTGTTGATTCTGTTGAAGCTGAGGGAAACACCGAGAAAACTCCCCTATCTGCCTTTCCTGCGCCCAAGAATTCTAATAAAGGCAAGACTAAGGTAATTGAAGTTGGTTTTTCTGGCGGTGCCGAAGGTGCAGAGGCTGCCTTTTGAGCTGCTGAGCTCGCAGGCCCCGGTGAGGTTCACCTATCTCTAATAAAAGTCCTTAGTGCTCGCTACAGTTTTCCCCTGGGATTTCAGTTCTGGTGCCCAGATAAGTTTACCCCATATGTCTCCTAGGTCCATAAGAAGGTTTGTTTCTTTATTGCTGCCTTTGAAAACGGTTTACGTNTGAAGCTTGAGATGGATGAGGAGTATCAAGGAAATATTGAGACTACTGGGTCTGGATTCTGATGAATATGAATCTTCTGTGGACACCCGAGCAGAACTCTCTCCTCCTTTTTCCTCTTCTTTTTTCTTTTTTTTATGCGTTTCCCCAACTGCCTTTCAAAAGNACGTTTTTCCTTACACCCTTTTGTCAAAAGTGTCCTTCAACATTTCAATGTCTATCCAACTCAACTATCTCCCAACTTCTAAGGTATCCTGGTGGGCCTCCTTGTCTTCTTCAAGCTACACCAGCTCGGTGTTCCCATTGTTTCTCTACTAATGGAACTTTTCAATGTTAAGTATACCCCTACTGATGGTTTCTTGTATGTTTCCAAACAGGTAAAGGCTAAACATATTATTTCTGACCTTCCGAGCTCCCACAAGGGCTGGAGAAAATTCTTCTTCTTCGTGTGGGGAGAACACTAGGAGTACAATCCGACTGATAAGACAGATATTCTTCCCATTCCTAGAGCCTGGTCTGCCCCAGATAACTTGGGTACGTGCTTACTTAAACTACCCAAGCTCGGATTTGGAGAGCCCACCTGATCTTGTCCTTCACTATTTTGTTTTTTAGGTGTTCGTCCTGAGAGCACTGAGGACGAACAAGTGCTACAGAGGTTGGAGAAGTGTAAACCAAAAAAATACTCTGAACTCATCAAGCCTTGGGTTCTAGTAAGGGAAGGGTTCAGCCTTCCAGAGGTGACAGTAGAAGCCCCCATTCCACTCTCCATTGTCAGAGCTGAGGAGGTAGCAAGTAACGTTCCTTCGTTCTAGTCTCTCTCTCCTCTTTTTTTTTTTTTTTTAGAACTTGCCCCCTCTATTTTCCTTCCTTCTCATGTTGGTTCTTTCTTGACTTTCCAAGCTCTTCTTTGATGGAACCAACTGCAAAGGATTAAAAATGCTAAACTTTCTTTGATGAGAAAGAACCAAAGTGGAGGCAAACGCAAGGTTGAGGCCGGGTCAGGGAGCTCAGCCTCCAAAGTTCCAAGGTTAGAGGTGACCCTTGCTTCACCTCTAGTGACCCCGACGGGTCCTCAAACTTCTTCGGACTCCACAAAGGATGTGCAAACTTCTCTCTCCCAAGAGACCAGGCTGCCCCTTCTAGTGGGGTCCCTAAACAAGTTTTGTCCCCAACTCCTCCCTCTTCAGCAGAGGTTGAGAGAGCCTTGGAAATGATTTCTCGCATTTTGCCAGGAACTATTCCCCCTTCTTCCTTTGAGGGACCATCTCTGAAACATTCAAAGATCTACAAGAGTGAGAAAGGGGGGAGTGTCGAGGCAAGCTCGAACTCTTTGATTGATAACGTG